ATGATTATTTGATTTAGAAACATAGAAACAAAGAGTGGGAAAGAAACCAGTTGCCTAGACCAACTATCTAATTCGGTTCAAGATCCAATATTCTCCTGCTAACTGCCTTAGAGTGCCCACCTGGCATGCCCATGAGGACATGCTACTAAACGGGAAGTAGAAACTAGTCCAAGTTATACAGAAATGGGGAGTAAATCAGGTGATGGGAATGGTCATCATCTGGGAATAGAGGCCTGGGATTGTCGGATCTTGACCAGGAACTGAAATCTAGATATCTGTGTGAATCTCTTGATGTTTAAGTTCTGGAAGCTAATTCAAATTTTTCAATAGCACCATTATGTCAAAAGGGACACTTCTTTAGACCAAAGACCACCAGTTTGCACTCTTAGTCTTAGGTGGGAAGCCAGCAAAGGTAGAGGGTCTTGGGAGACAGGTGGCCCCAGCTTGTAGAAACTCCAAAGCAGGAAGGAAACACCCATATCAGCTAAGTCATCCTTGACCCTTGGGGTGCCAGAAACATTTGGATCATGACTTGGGGTCTCACTATATGCTCTCATTCATTCATTCATTCATTCATTCATTCACCGAACATTAGTAAATGGCTTCTCTGGTGTACTCAGCTTAAAAATAGCTCCCACCATCTGGTCAGCCTTTTAGGGCCTTCCAGTCTCGTGGGACTCGGTGGCCTTTACACGGTGAGGTACAGTGCTTCCCCTGATAATGCTAACCTTAGGTAATCACAAAATCGGTATGTTTGAATAGTGAGAGGATCACTTGGATGCATCTGTAAGGGTGGTAATGGCAAGATGTCCCTGAGGTTCTCGACTTCATCTAGAATATCCTTGTGGTGGCTCTGAAGGGTGGGTATTTTCTCTTTCAGAAGAAGGTATTCTGTTTCATGCCTGGTTTTCCATCTTCCGCATGTTGGCCCTGAAACCCTCTTTCTTGCAACAAAGAATCGTAATCTTTCTGCTGTTATGAAAATTGCCCTCTAGGGGGCGCCATTTGCAGCTCTCTGAGTCAGCCTGGGCCTGCTTTGCCGGCCTTCCCATTAACTAGCAAGGCTACTTTATTCCGTGGCTAGACAGCTGTGCCAGCAAGCTCTGCACAGAACAGCTTTTTCCCAGTTCTTGTAGGATCTGCAGTGCTTCATGCTGACTCCTAATTGGTCTTCCAGGTGACCGTCGCGTGTCTACCCATACTCCTGAACTCCTGTAGCAGTCCATTCTCTATGCTGTAGGTTAGCCGTGAGTGCTTCTCATGTTGCATTCTTGTTTATTCTTTTATGCATGTGGACGGTCTGCCCAGATTATTAAGGCTCGAAGGGCTTCGTATGCCTCAGGCATCTGGCATAATGCAATGCCTGGGACAGGGAGTCTGTTTGTTGTCGAGGTAGGTTCTGGTATTCTTTTGTTTATTCATCACTTACTGGGTATCTGTTCCAGGCTGGGCACTCTTTTGGGTGCCCTGAAAACAGTTATGAAAGACAAGATCCCTGCTCGCAAATAGCTCTAATATTGGGGGAGAGAGAGAGAGAGCGAGAGCAAGAGAGAATAGACCATTACAGGGGTGCTAAGTGATTCTGGGAACAGGAGCAGTGCAGGCTTTTCCCTCCCCAGGAGCTCCTTTTACAAGAGTTCAGCTTTTCACTCTCTTATTCTAGGATCACCCCTGGAGACTGAACCATGCCTTCGACTGCTTTCCTTTTCCAGTCCCCACAGGAGAGGGTGGCAGGAACATGGGGGCAGGTGTCCAGCTCGGGATAGCATAGAAAAGGTGACAGTCGTCACATCTCCCTCTGGCATTCCATGCCCCTAGGGTTGTGTGGTTTGCTTTTCAGCCATCTAGTAACTGCCCTTGAATTCTCAAAATGGTTTATCATCTCACTGTCTGGGGGTGATTTGGAAATGCTGATTTACTTTACGTGACATAGATATGTGTTTATGGAAAACCTGTTCATTCTGTAAGATGCATCCCTTTCTTGTGACGTGTCCTCTAGTTCTAACAGAATGAATTATTCCTGCCTTTTTATGCCTTTATTACTGTTAGGTCTATCCCAATTTTAATACAAATTGGTTTCATTTTGTCTTTTATTATGGCTGTTCAGAGCCTCATGCCTTAAGACTGTAAGCCTATTGAGGGCAAGGATCATACTGTGTTCACCTTGGATCTCTCACTTCCTGCACTTTCTCCTTATTTACACATAGTAGGCAGTGAATACATGTTAATTTAATGAGCTGGGACTCTGTAATATGATCCAAGTTTAGTTATGTATTTTAGAGTATCTACTTCCGATATACGGTTAATAACGTCAGGAGCTTCCACATGGATTTTGTTTGCTTGACTTAGGTTGTATGAATATTTGCTTGGCAAATGCTTTCCAGATATATATGCAAAGGTTTCTGGATAGATCTGGGCTCCGACTTTGAATTTTCATTTCCTGTTTCCTTGTCATCTTATATGGCTTCATCACTATATTGCCTTACTTCCTGATTTCTTTCCAATATTTGAAGAAACATCCTCCTATTGATTTGTTCTGTCCATTCAAATATCTACTAAGTACCAAGGCATACTCCTGACTCGGGTAACAAAGCAGATTTTGATTGAACCCCATAATGTGTTCAAATAGTGTAATTCCTTTCATCAAAAGTTATGTCAATTCAGTCAAAATGGATTACCTGATAGCTTGATAGTACAGTTTGAGAGGCATTTTCAAAAAATCTCACGTCCTTGGCTAGGAAACCAGAGACTTGAAGCTTCCTGTCATTTGATTTTTTTTTTTTTGGTGTTTAGTATCTCTCTGAAACTCATACATATACATATATTAGAGGATGCAAACTTATGATTAAATGTTTCCCCTGAAGCCATTTAAAATTTCTGCATATTGAATTTCAATCTTTAATTTCATTAGTCACTTAACTTTAGATTTTAATGTCACAGAAAGTATAGTGGCTTTTTATAGGGGTTCGTATAAAGGTGGTGAGGTTTGTTTTCTCTGCTTTCCTGGCCTATGTGAAATTTAATCGCTTTTTAGGCCGGATATTCTTTTTAAAAAGGGAGCCTAAAGTGCAGCTCTAATGTCTCCATGACTTGTTTGATCTAGGTCCTGGTGTGTGTGTGTCATGAAAGAAGGTAGTCATCCAAGGCGCCCATGTACATTCTCGACCTGTAGCGATAGTAGTCAAGTAGCCATGAACTTACTTTACACCCTGGGCGAGCAGGTTGCTCCACAAACAGCTCAGAAAACATAAAATGTGGAAAAGGGATTCCTTTCACAAAATACAATTTACTCTTGAGACCACAGTTTCCATTAAAGCAGGAAGCAATCTGAGTTTCACCTCTTGCAGTTACTAGACCAACTAAAACCTGACTGAGCCAGGAGGGTTTTTTTGTTGTTGTTTTTTTGTTTTTGGCCACTTATCAGTCGAGTAGGACAACAAAATAAGCACACATTTTAAAGTACAGTGCCTCAACTGAAAGTGGGCTCTAGAAGGGGATTTTGCCGGGGGCAATCTCGTTTTCCCCATTTCCCCCTATTTTATTCTATCCCTTTCTTCCACATTATTTTGCATTTTCCCGTAAATCGACCATAATTCAATCTCGGCCAGGAGGGTAAATTTGATTCCTTGGCCGTTAAACATCGTGTGCTTTTTCTAAGACACGAGAGGAGCTTGTAACAAAACAGGACAGAAACCACCTCAATGGCATGAAGAATTGGAAGCCATCAGGAGGCTCTTGGAAACCCCGACAGCTTCGTTTTGCAGCTCAGGATTTAGATCTCTGTCTCCCGTAACTTTGTGGACAGTTTCGCCTATTAACCCGCACCCCTCCCTCCGGGAACCAGTGACAGCTCCTCTTCTTCCTCAGTCTCACTCCACGACCGAGTGTATCCCACGTTCCAGAGCTGAACTGGGGTCAGAGGTGACGCGAGATACTTTTCTGACCGAATGGCGCTGTCGAAATCGGGACGGGAAAGAACACGGAAGTGGCCGAGAGGCGGCCCCGGGGCGGGGGGCGCGAGCGCGGCGGCCGCCGGCCGGGGGCCGCGCCGAGGGTTCGCGGAGCCGGCCCGGGCTGGGCACCGGCGGGCTGCATCCCGCGGCGCCGCCACGGCCGAGGCCGCCATATTTCTGCCCCACCACGCCCGGGCGGCCGGCGGGCAGCGGCAGGGTGGCGGCGGCCCCGGCCCGCCCCTCGCCGGGGGGCGGCCGCAACCGCTGCGCCCGCGAGCCCACACCGGGGCGCGGACGCGGGAGGCGCCCGCAGAGCCCGAGGGGCCGGCGCAGGCGGGGAGCGGCGGGCGAGAGCCGCACTGGGAGGCGCGCCGGGGCGGCTGCGAGCCCAGGAAAGCCTGCCAGGAGGGGCCGGGCGGCACCGCCTCCCCGCTCCCCTCCCTCCGCCTCCCCTCCGCCTCCCCACGCCGCCGCCGCCGCCGCCGCCTCCCTCCCGGATCCGTGCTCCAGTTCAGAGAAAGAAGAAAATGTGTGTGTGTGGCGAGGGGGAGGGCGAGCCCTGAGCAGCCGCTCCGCGCCTGGCAATCGGGGCCGGGGGTGGGCGTCTGGCGGAGGCGGGGCGGGGGCGGAGGCGGAGGCGGCGGAGCGCGCGGCGGGCGGGCGGGCGGGCGGGCGAGCGGGGTTTGCGCGCGAGCCGGGCGGTGGGCGCGGGCAGGGCCCAGGCGCCCAGGAGCCGTGTCAGGCGGCGGCGAGGAGCGGGCGCGCCGGGCGCGGGGAGCCGTCGGCGGCCGCTCGCTGCGGGGACGCCCCGGTGGATGTGCTCTCGCCGCCGGGCGCAGGGCTTAGGGGACCCTCGGCGGCGGCGGCGGCGGCGCGGGGGGCGAGGCGGGCCGCCCGTTCCCAGGGAAGGAGGCGCGGGCGTCTGAGCGAGGCCGGGCGCGGCGGCCTTCCCTCGCGCGCCCCCCGAGCCAGCGCCCGCGGCCGCCTCCCGCGCCCGCCTCGCTCGTCCCGGCGGCCCGAGCCGCCCGCTCCCGCCGCACCCCCGGCCCACCTGGTGGCCCCGGCCCTGGCCGCGGCCCCCGCGGCCGTTCCCCGAGCTCGTCCCGGACGCGCGCCCGGGCGCCGGGGGCTCGGCGGCCACCGCTGCCTCGGGGGAGCGAGGGCGGGAGGGCGTGTGTGCGCGCGTGTGAGCAGGGGGTGCCGGCGGGGCTGCAGCGGAGGCACTTTGGAAGAATGACTCTGGAGTCCATCATGGCGTGCTGCCTGAGCGAGGAGGCCAAGGAAGCCCGGCGGATCAACGACGAGATCGAGCGGCAGCTCCGCAGGGACAAGCGGGACGCCCGCCGGGAGCTCAAGCTGCTGCTGCTTGGTGAGTACCAGCCCCGGGCCGGCCGCTTCGGGCCCTCCCGCCGGGCCTCTGCGGCCCCCGCCCGTCGCCCCCGGGCCCCCGGGGCCGCTGCGCTTCGCGGCCCCCGCCCCTGGGCGCCCGCGGCTCGCCCCGACCCTCGGCGGGCGCGCCCCCGGCCACTACCTGCACCCGCGCGGGCGCGCGCGCGCGTAACACCCCTCCCGCGCGCGCATACAGGCGCGCGCACACACGCGCAGAGGGGTCGGGGCTGCCCTGGCCCGGGCCTCGGCGTGTGCCTTTTGGTATCCCCGAGGGCTGTGCCTTCGGGGACCGCGTTTATCTGCTGTGCATCTGCTAAATGGCAAATCACTTCGGGGCAGAGGCGCGGGGGTGGGAAGAGGTGGGCAGCGGGCTTGAACTTTCAGTGGCTTGGCCATGGCGCCCCGTGCTGGAGAGGGGAGCTGTGTGTGTGTGTGTGTGTGTGTGTGTGTGTGTGTGTGTGACCCGAGGGTGACGAGCTGTGCCGGGGCACGTTGGGGGACGGCGTGCGGTGGGGTGGCCCGTGTGCATCCATTGTCAGTGCTTTCTGGGGTCAGAAGGGAATGGTGGTAGGGTGGGCTGCCTCGCGACTGGATTCCCAAAGGAGTGATGATGAGGGAACTGAGTGGTTGGCCCTCCAAAGAAAGGGGGGTTATGTATTCCGGGGGGGGGGGGGACGGGCAGGCAAGCTCAGATGTGTCACACAAGTGCTGTTCTCTAGCCACCAGACCACCGAAAGGAGGGACCCAGAAGAGTTTCTTGACCAGTGGATGGTGGCAGGCTTGTTTCTCGTCTGCACCATTCCTTCCAGATAAAGAGGAGGGATACGGGAGGGTTGTGCTGTGTGGTTGTTGACAGCGACGGGTTTCTTTTGTTTAATGAGGCAACCCAGATGTAGGCCTGAATTCACAATAGTTACTACTGAAAACCAGTGCAGCCGCTCAATTACTCTCACGGCAACAAATAGAAACCTTTTGTTTAAAACGGACAGCATTTTAATATCTTTGGGATCTGGACTGGAAGGAAAACGGGAAGTGTATAGCAAAAATTTCCCTTTAGCTCTAAAAAAAAAACCCCCCAAAACCCCCCAACATTCTGCCTTCACACTGACTTATCAAAAAAATGCCATTTCTCAAATAGGAATTCTATTGATAATTATCTTTGAGAGAATGTTCAGAATCAAGGATCAGGGTACACACAGGAGCCAGCGTGACATAACTCTGAGCTATGGTGGTAGGGAGAGCAAACAGCTTTGCAGTAACAGGCCTGAAAAATGTCTGCACTTGTGTTCAAGATATTTGCGTGAATAATAAATATGTTTCTCAGACATGTCTGGAAGAAAGAAATATTGTAATGTCAGTTTAGATTTAAGAAGCATGCAGTTTCTTTCTTGAGCATTTCATCTCCTGGTTCAAGGAACCAGTTGCCTTTGGGACTGAGTAACTGCTTATCTACCAGATCATGTATAAGAGAGAACAAAATATAATGATCACAAATAGTTACAAATGGTTAACTCACATGCCATGCTTTATGTCTTCATCTTGAAACCAGATTAGATAAATGTGCACATGTTTATAAGGAACAGAAGGCAGAGCGCTGGATAAAAGAGGTGGGCTTTAGGGAATGAAGCCAGGGGAGGGGAAAAATGCAATTGGAAAAGGAAGATTTTTAAAAAAATGTTTTATTCTCATTTTGGCCTACTTCTAACGGCTGAATAATGTGTAATTGAATATGTTGCAAATTCTCAAGATTGAGAAAAATAGAGAGGGGAAGAGAAATAGGCATAGAGTGTTTAAGTGCACGATAAAGGGGGAAAGCATGTGTTTTACACTTAAGATTAGGTTTTCTTTTGCCCTGTTTACAGTCTTTGTTTATGGTTAGCTAGCTGTGAATACAGCGTTTAAGATCTCTCAGGCCGTCCCTGTTGTCTGAAATGTGACAGCTTGAGGTTTCCAGCAGCTATGAGTTAGAACCCCGGGGGGTTTGTCTGTTTGAAGGCCTCTGTTTGAATGTCTAGGAGGAAGACTTTGAGGCAAATACACATATATGGACACCTAATTACATACTGTGTATTTCAGTAACATACGGTGCTTTAAAAACGCCCTTGGGGAGATGATTTTATGAGCAAAAAAATGAAACAGTTTTACTGCTAAAGTGGTAGTAATGGAGAACTTTTTCTCTCATTAGATATTTGAGTGGGGTTTAATATGCCTCACCCCAGCCCCCAAATATGGTCTATTAGAGGTGGTGGAAGAATATGGCATTAATTTAGCACCTACGTTCGTTAGTAACATTTAAAAATTGTACAGCTTTTTGTTAGCAACACAAACCCCTAGGCATCATGTACGATTTGTTACAGTTTAGTCTTCTAGGTATGTTGCTTTTGTAGCATAATGAGTTTGATACCTATATTACTTCTACAGTAAATGTTCTCTACTAAATGCAGGGTGTGTGTGTGTGTGTGTGTGTGTGCATGCGCGTGCATGCGGGCGTGTGATTTCACAATTTTTTGCATCCAGGGGAAAAATGATGGTTGATTTGAACCAGGCAAGGTGTTGGGGAGGGCTTCTGTTTGAAGAACTGCTCTCCCATCAGCTGCTTGGATGAGTTCACTGAATCTTCCTGTCCCACCTGTCCAAAGGAGGTTATAGGATTTATCCTTTCACAGTGTCAAGATTTACCAATATTTTTAACTATCTTATTTAAATGGAGGGGTCACCCTTAGATTTAAATGACATTCAGTATAAAATTATTTTCAAAGTAAATTTTAGTTCAAGACATGACGCCATTTTAGTGGAAATGGATTTATTTGGCAAGGGACCTTTGCCTTTGTTCACCAATTATTTTATATATTAATAATATGAAGAAACGAGAAAGAGAAAATTGTGGTTACCTGCCTAGATGAAAGTATACCAGTGAAATTTGGGGTGTTTTGATACACATACAGCAATTACGTCAGTGTATTTCAAATTCCATAGTACTAATATTTTTTGATTTTTACTTTTTTTTAAATGAACCTAGAAACTTACCACTGTAGAAATACAATATTTAATAATGAATTCTTGTTTTCTTTAGCGTATTCATTCTCTGAATTTATTTACATAAGTGTTTTTCTTTGACACCTCAAAGAAAACTATATTCTACATATATATGTGAGAGAATACCTTATTTTAACTTGGTTTAAGTTTTTATATGCTTTGTGGGTGTACAGTACATTTACTTTAACTGATTAATATTTATGAATATTAACTAAATGTTTCTATTTGTAGTATGTAGGTCACAGTATTTAATATTAATGTGTCTTTAAGTCTATATACAACAAGTGGCTTTGAGTCCCTGCTTTTTTTTTTTTTTTTTTTTTAAAGATTTTATTTATTTATTTGACAGAGACAGAGTGAGAGAGGGAACACAAGCAGGGGGAGGGGAGAGGGAGAAGCAGGCTTTCCGCAGAGCGGGGAGCCCGACGTGGGGCTCGATCCCAGGACCCTGGGATCATGACCTGAGCCGAAGGCAGACGCTTAACGACTGAGCCACCCAGGCGCCCCGAGTCCCTGCTTTCAGTCACAGATATTCATGCTGAAATGTTTTCAGTTCCTTGAAGATATAGATACATTTCCTGTTAACCTGTTCTTGTTTGACATGTTTTTAAAATCTTGACTCTTAGGATCTTAATCATCAAACAGGAAGATTTAGCAAACTTTTATAACTGATTGGATTCCACCTATTGAAAATAGGCTGTTTAGGCCAGTCTTAGATAGAAGAATGTATGTTCTTGGTGTTCTAACTGAATTACACACGTGATTGTGGATTTTCTTCCTATTCAAGACCAGCAGCTTAGGAGGGTAGGGGTTGTGTCTATTGCTCACTATTAAACCCCAACTTCTAGCCCAATAAATATCTAACTCCTAGCATGCTCTCAGTAAGTACTTGTTCAATGAGTACATTTATTTCTGACCCTCCCGATAGAAATTGGGACCATGAAATAATGAATAAATTATGGAGATACAGGGATATGTAATGATTTTTAATCTGTGGCAGATGAAAATCATGATCTTTAAAAAATTGTATGTAACTCTTTGAGCCAATTGAACAAGTGCATTCCAGAATCGGAAGTGTTAATGTAACATGTTACATCACATACTGCACCAGTCAGTGTATTACAGTTCTGTGCTGGGTGTATTTGGGAATGCTAACAGTCATGCTTAAAGTATGAAAGTTTACAAGGAAAAAAAAAAAAAAGAAACCATTCCATATCTTGATTACTTTTTATTGTGTAGAAGCTAATTTAACCCTGTCAGCTTTTGGCCATACACTTTCTCCGTGATACGCTCAACAGAGTGCGTTCTAAGTTCTCCAGAGCAGAGGTGGCAACTGCAGAGATTTTTATGATTTATCTGTACAGTTAGATGAGAACCGCAGTGATTAAATACAGAGTTTTAAGAATTGCAGATGGACTCTTTTGAATTGAGAGGTATACAGTCGTCCTGAAAACTGAGCAGTTACAGAGCAGGAGGGGACTTGGAAGGCTGGGAATGCTCTGGCAGATTTAGACAGTAGGGAGAGTTCATTCATGCAGGTCTGGATGAACGCGCCTGCCCCACGACCCCTCCATAGAGTTCACTGGAGAAGAATGGGGATTGAGGGTTTGAATGAACCTAGAAGTTCGTAGCCATATAGGATGGCCACTCAGAACCGCAGAATGCAGGGATCCCTGTAAGCAGCCCTAATAACAGCATCTCCCTGGAAATAACCAAAATACGGTGTTGATGAGGCTGCTTTAAAACCAATGAGTTCTATTTTTGCTATTCTTTTAGCTTCCAAGGGTTAAATATATTTTCTAAATGTCAGGATTTATTTGGATGCATTTCCTCTTTCTCTTTCTGCTTTTTGTTTGTTTGTTTTGTTTCTTTGAAACAAAGTACTTATAGTTTATATCTGGAGGGTGAAATGGCAGCATCCCTCATGAAAATCAGACTTGTAGC